CAAAATATTAGTATGTCCAAGTGAACTGAATTTAATAAGTGTCAACAGTGTATAAGCATAAATAGCTTAAAGAGAAAGTGACATCTGCTTAGTGACTGTACTTAAAATTAATCAAGTCACAGAAATATCACGTAATAAAAAGGACACCTAGCTACAGTAGTAATGAGAGATAGCAACTTTATTCAACATTCAATTTGCTGTTATTTATACTGATACAATAGTGCAATGGAACATTTAGTGACAGATTTCCATCGCTTCTCGGCCTTTTGTCTAAGATCAAGTGTAGTGATAGATTTCCAAGGGAAGGCTTTCAGAAAAAGTTGAGTTAAAAAAAAAATTCTAAAGAACCATGTGACTAAGAAGTAATTTTCAAGAACAGTATGTAAAATGGCTTAATAATGAACTGGATAATAAAAAACACAGTATTTTCTTCCTTAGAAATATATACTTTCTAAATGTTAGTCTTTCTTTGTAGTCATTAATATCTTTTTTTAAGTTACTATCTAGTTCTCAATCTCATCTCTCTTCCCTTGAAAAAATAAAAATGAATTAATCTTTTCAATGTTCTTCTAATACTCTGAAACAAAGTAATCATTGAAAACAAGCCTCTTCACTAACAATATTTAAAAATTTAATCGTGCTTTTGTTACCTTAGGACGACAGACCAAAGAGTTGGCCAGGGAGGGACATGTGAGGCATGTTCTGCTTTTTGACTTTGGTAGTAGCTACACTGTTCACTTTATGATTATTTGTTAAACAGTACATATATGTTTTATGCACTTATACCAAAAAGAATAAATAGCATGTATTTTTAAACAGCTTCCTTTATGGAAACTTCTCTAAGTAAAGCAAACTAAATAAAACTCTCATTTAAATATATTCATTCTAACTGTCCTTTTAAAGACTTTAAGGGGCAGAGATGGAACAGAAGCAAAAATGAATGAAACACTTGAGTTACTCTCATTTACATCTTTCAAGAAAAGTCTCATTGTAACTAGATTTAAAACATAATTTCAAATAAAATATCAGTAAATATTAATATAGTCTAACACTGCCAATTCCCTTTTTCTCTAAATTTAAATATTGCTATATATAAAAATGGAAAAGGCACAAACTCATCTTCTTTTTAGTTGGTTTATATGTTCCAGAATTTTTAAGTATCTCAAGAAATGGCACTTTGACAGTGTCCTTTGATTTTGGACCTATAATATCTTCTATTCCTTCTCAAATATCTTACTGAGCTTCTATTTGTACCAAATCATCTCCTCTGGAGAGTACAACCTAGGGCTCTAGTATCTATCTCCTCTTCACTTTGCAGTTAGAAGCCATGCTTTTAAACAGTTAGACTGTACCTCTGTTCAATCTGCTGAGAGCACCATCTTGGAATACTGATTCAACCTCATAAGGCCATTTCATAAGTCCCCCAAACAAACTGACATTAAGACTGCTTCTCGCTCCAGAAGTTGGCAGTTAATGACCATTCTACTTCTAGCTAGCAAGGGAGCAGGTATTTCCTTGCAGTACATCTTTAGGTCAGCATGATTTCTCCATTTACAAGTTTATCACTGTGTTACAGATAAACAAATTGCATCTTTGCTCCTATCTCTTAGGTGAGAAACAAACCCTCTGATGTGACACTATCCTTTTAATTTGACCAAAGTCTTTCTCACTCATACATTCTCCTTGCAGAGCTATCTATCAGTCTTCCATGAAAAACTGCCATAACTAAATATGTTCCTTTTCTGGTTTGAAAAACACAAAGGAACGATTTTTCAGTTGTCAGTTCTTTCAAAGTTCTTCTTAGGGTAAGAAAAATTCTTATTTTAACTAGGAATAATCAGATACTAGTCTATTATAGTGCAATGACTCTCAAAAGAGCTGTACAAAAGAAACATGTGGATTCTACCTCCAAAAGTCATTGGAGATTCTTTTCTTCTTATTAAGGCATCCAGAACACATATTACACCAAGCCAAAAGGACCAATTCTCTTCATGGAGTAGAATAGCAATTGGCTGTTATTCATTAAATTCTTACAGCAATGAGCAATGACTTGCATCCTCATTTTGTTTCTCTTTGAATAGCAGATGAAGTTGATTTTTTTCCAACGCTGCTTCCCATCACCAGCACTTCCGATCCTTGACCTACGTGGCTGTTAATATGCTGTACACATATGCTTGGGCTCCTTAACAACCAGTGCAGTTAACCTTTCTGTTTACTCCAAGCCAGTTCCCATCTTGTTAGTGAAAGTGATTTTTTTTTCTTTCTAAGCATAATAATTATATCTGGTACAAAAAATATATATATAATCCATCGATTTTCTGAGTCTTTTTTTTTTCACAAGGGTTTCAGGGGCCACGGGGTCTCATGTTCTAATTAAGAAAGACTTGTCCATTCATGGTAATTCCAAAAGGTGGGCTCCTACAGCTACTTCACAAATACAGTTAATACCTCTTGTGTGTTTGGGGAGCTAATTAGTGGGTGCCACATTTTACTTTTATTCTCAAAGAAAGGTTAATTCCTTCGTTTGAATATGAGTGAAATATTATCTTTATATTTTCTGGAACTAATGATTAAAAATAAAATATTAGAAATTCTATCAAAGAACACTTTGTGACAAGTACCTATGATCAAAGGCACTTCTCCTCCATCTCATAATTTGCCCCCATCATTTTATACTGTAACTGCCTATTAACCGGCTATACCTCTCAAAGACAAGAAGCTCTTGGAAGGTAGGGACTGTGTCATAATGACTGTTTTATCTGTAGGGCACATGGTCTCACTGACGGTATACAGTCAATAAGTATTTCTGTTGGTGTTAGTATTATATTCAATTCAAAAGTCTAATTTTTAATTAGCCGATTTTAGACTACCTGGCACACTCACTGCCCCAATACATATATATATCTAGGTAGATATTATCACAGTTCAGATAGGCCCAATCTCAAATATGTACTGATCTCTACCTGAACACTGAGCCTCTTTATGGGAGACAGTAGAAACAATGCTAATTTGTAAGTTTTGAAGCTTTTCGTTCTGATTCAGACTCTGCTATTACCTAGCAGTAACGCTTCGTAAGTCACTTTAACCACATTGGATCTTGCACCCTCAGAGATTAAAATGAGGAACTGGGGAGGCGGGTGTAGCTCAGTGGTAGAGTGCGTGCTTAGCATGAACGAGGTTCTGGGTTTAATCCCCAGTACCTCCATCAAATAAACAAACTTCATTACCTCCCCCCACCCAAAAAAAAAAGAAAGAAAGAAATTTAAAAATGAGGAACTGGATTAAATAGTCTCCAAGTACTCAGCTGGGCCCAGCTCTAAGACTAACTAGGCATGAACCAGGAAGGGTACCACTAGCATAGCAAGCCCTCGTCAACACTAGAGGGAGCTACATTCATGTCATCACTAGGGTGGTTAGGGAGATTTCCAAGCCAAGCATCTTTAAATGGAGAACTGACTTTCCAGAATGAGAGAAATTAAATATTAAGGGGGAGATCCACACTGTTCACACAGCCTCTTCTCAGGCTCCCTGCTGTCACCTCCCTCTTACAGATGTCAAAGCACTTCACACTGGACATGGATCAATGTACCTTTTGGGATTGAACTCTAATTTCAAAGGAACCAAGTTGGCTTGAGTCATTTCTACAGATTTCTTTCCCATTCAGTGTAGTTTTTTTCTTAATCAAATTAACAATAACAAAAAAGCAAAGTAATTAAAGCTTTTATTTTTTAAAGCCATTATTTTTTAAAGCCCCAGGAAATGAGCTGGAGGAGTAGAAAGATTCATATCACACTGAAGTTGTGGCCTGGGAAAATCAGTACAGTTAACTGCAACTGAATTCATTAGCAACTTGCCATTCAAACTGAAGCTACCATAGCTACTTTGAAAACAAGAAAATTACTCAAAGAGATGAATGATATCAAAGTAAAAAAGGAATCGACAATGTGGGAGCTGGAATGCCCGTGTTGGTGAATGCTGTCATTGCCCTGTGGGGCTCTGCGGTGAGAAGCCTGCAGCTGCTGAAGGGTGATGTCATTGATTAGAGGCAATGCGGTCACATTAGGCATTTGGTGAGAAAACTGCCAAGTGGCAAGATAAGGGAATAGAGGATGAAGGAGGGAAGGAAAAAGAAAACACATTTCTAAAGCTAGAGCTTTTTTATGAAGTTATTATTTACATACTCTCCCTCCCAGCTCCAAAAAAACACCCATGGCCTTGGAAATGTATGACCTATACCATTATAGAACCAGTAAAATGGAGAATCAAAAACCTTTCCTTTGGTGTCAACTGGTTTCTCTTTGCCCAGAGGCACAATGGCACATTCACTGACAGAGAGGGCATCAACTGTGGGTATTACAGAATGTGGTCTGTGGGAGAAAGATAAATGCAGTCCTGAAGAACCCTTTCTATTTCAATTTCATAGGTTAATTTAACACTCAGAAGGCAAATCCTCAACAGTCAGAAACAGACCACCTACTTTTTAGCACATGGGCTGTTCCTGACTAAAAATAGATCGTACGGGAACTCTGGAGGGTGACTTTGTGGGTGAAGAGAAAAATCTACTAGAACAAGACAAATAGTTCTTTTTCACTTAAAAAATGCACACTAACTACTCTGAGGTAAAATACAGAGTAAGACTCACAAGGGTAAAATCAACTTATTCCTATGGATCCACGCAAGCAGGATACTAAGTTTCTTAAGTCATCAAGTTCAAGTACTCTAAGAGATACGACAGCCTTAACAAGTCAAAAAGATTTTTCTTTTAGGACAATAAAAAAAATTATTTGCCCAGTACCTCCTCTAAAAAATAAATAAATAAGTAAACCTAATTATCTTCCTCTACCAAGAAAAAAATTATTTAAACATTCCTCACAATCAATGATCCTGATGGGAAGCAAGAGAAAAATATACTTTGTTGTTACCAGGAGAAGGACTTATTTTCCTTCCTTATTTTAGGACATATGCCAAAGGATTTTCAATTCACTCTGCTTCTTACTGACCTTTAAAATGTTTCGACCATCAAATGATTCTCTTTCCTTGAAGATATATTTCCCATCCGCCGTGTAGAGATTGTACCTGCCTTCAGCTGTAAATATTAGAAGAGACGCTTGAGTTATTTATCTATTTGTTTTCTCTTGGACGTCTATAGGTACAACTAGCAAGATCTTCCTATACTACCTGAAAAGTGGCATAACGTGGAGGGGAAAACATCAGGCTGTGAGTCAAGAGACCTGGCATCTACTCTCAGCTCCGTCATCAACTCATGCAATATGTACTTATTCATACAACATTGTCCAAGTACTCACTGTACATTAACTATGTAACAAACCACACTCCTAGGCAGATGATGTCTCCTCTCCCGACTTCAGTTCCTCATTTACAAAGTTAGAGGTTAAGACTAGATGATTTCTAAAGGTTCCCTGCAGTCTAAAACCCCAAGATTTTGTATAAGCTGCATGCATTTTTAAATATGTAAAAATATACAGACGTTCACACATTAACTAGTCAAAATGCTGGCAACCGTGCTTTGGGTTGATTTTAAGGGCTCCCCTCAAATGAGAAAAACTCTTTTAGCTGCAATCAAAAGTATCCTTACAGGCATTCTACACAGAAATCTACAAATCTACGACCTTAGCTTCATCAAAGCTGTACTCTAACTTCTGCATCAATTTAGCTTGCTTATCCCAAAAGATGTCCTTCAAATACAGTAGGAAAAGGGTATCAAAGGAAAGGGACAATCAGTAAGAAAAAGGAAAACACCGTATTCTATGTTCTTTTCAAGTGAAAATCAAGACAGAAAAGAATCCAGGGTATACAAATTCAAAGCATCTTCAAGAATCATTTAACTCTCAGAATATTTTCTGAAATATCAACCCTTTCCTGCCCACCAAAAGACACTCAAAATATTTGTATTTCTACTTTTGAGTATACTCTTTTATTGTATACAAATATGAAAACTACCATGTCAGGCTTGATAAAATACATCCATAGTGCTAACTCCATGAAGATAATATGTTTCAGCTAGCCCACTGGAATTACACATGGGTAACTACAGAACTATTTCTCTAATGAGAACTGTTCTTTTAATCAAAGATTACAATCACACGCATGTTTCACAACTTAAAAATAGGTCCCCTGTTAAAAGGAGATGTGAAACTTCAAATTTATACTAAATAAGTTTCAGTAAGAAAGCAGCAGTGATATCTGAAGATTGAAATGCTTAACGACAGGTTCAAATCTTAAGTAGCATTAGCCATCAGGGAACTGCAAACCAAAATCACACTGAGATACCACTTCACTCCCAAAATGATGGCAATTATCAAAAGACAGATAATAACAAGTGTTGGCAAAGGCATAGAGAAATTGAAACCCTCATATACAGACATCACCCCTTATTTATGGTTTTATTTACCAAGGTTTCAGTTACACATGGTCAACTGAGGTCTGAAAATATTAAATGGAAAATTCCAGAAAGAAACAATTCGTAAGTTTTGAATTGTGCATCATTTAAAGGAGCATGATGCATCCCACCCAGGAAGTGTCATCCCTTTATCCAGCACATCCTGCCCTCTCAGGTAGTAGATCAACTGTCAAGGTATCTCAGTGCTTTTGTTTCAGTAACCTGTATCTTAATAGCGGCCCCAAAGCACAGGAGTAATGATGCTGGCAATCTGAAGATGCCAAAAGAAGCCATAAAGTGCTTCCTTTGAGTGAAAAGGTGAAAGTTCCTGACTTAATAATGAAAGAAAAAAATCATATGCTGAGATTTGCTAAAATCTTCTACCCATGAAACTTGGAAGAAGAAAAATGAAATTTATACTGGGTTCACTGTCACACCTCAAACTGCAAAAGTTATAGTCATAGTGCATGATAAGTGCTTAGTTAAGATGGAAAATGCATTAAATTTGTACAATAAGATATTTTGAGAGAGACAGGTATCATTCACGTAACTTTCATTGTAGTATACTGTTACAATTGTTCTATTTTATTATTAGTTGTTAATCTCTTACTGTACCTAATTTATAAATTAAATTTTATCATAGGTATGTTTGTATAGGAAAAAAACTGTGTGTGTGTGTGTATAGGATTTGGTATGCAGTTTCAGGCATCCACTGGAGATCTTGGACGTGCCTCTCGCAGATAAGGGGGGGACTACTGTACTGCTGGTGGGAATGTAAAATGGTGCAGCCACTTTGGAAAACAGCCTGGCAGTTCCTCAAGAAGTTAAACTAGAGTTACCATATGACCCAGCAATTTCATTCTTAAGTATATACTTAAGAGAAATGAAAACATATGCCCACACAAAAACTTGTACATAAATGTTCACAGCAACATAGTTCATAATAGTCAAAAAGTGTAAATAATTTTGTCCTTCAACTGACGAATGGATAAATAAAATGTGGTATGTCCACACAATGCATTATTATTTGATGATAAAAAGGAATAACATTTGAAACATGCTATTACACAGGTGACTCTCATAAATAATTATGCTAAGTGAAAGAAGCCAGTCACAGAAGATCACATATTGCATGATTCTATTTATTTATTTATTTAGCATGATTCTATTTAGATAAAATATGCAGAAAAGGCAAATTCACAGGACAGAAAGTAGACTAGTGGTGTCTAGGACTGAAGGGTAAGGGGGAAATGGGGAGTCAATGCCAATAGCTATGGGGTTTCTTTTTGGGGTGATGAAAATGTTCTAAAACTTACTGTTGTAATGTTATATAACTCTTTACTATACTAAAAATTACTGATTGAATCATACGCTTTAAATGGGTGAATTACAATAAATAAAATATTGGGGGAGGGTATACCCACTGGTTAGAGTACATGCTTAGCATGTACGAGGTCCTGGGTTCAATCTCCAGTACCTCTATTAAAATAACTTACTAAAATTAATAAACCTAGTTACCTCCTCCCCCTTAAAAAAAAACCCAACAAACAAACAAAAAAGACAGAGTAGGAGAGATGCACAATGTACTGCTGACAGTATTAAATGTCTAATAAAATACTGTCTATACCTGCACTGTCCAAAACTTCAACCACTAGCCACATGTGATTATTTAAATTAATTAAAATTAAAAGTTCACTTTCTCAGTCTCACTAGCCATCCTCAAGTGTCCAATAACCACAAGTGGATAGTGGTTACCTTACTAGATACCACCGATATGGAAGATTTCTATCATCACAGAAACTCATTTTGGATGGTGCTGGGTACAGCGTAGCTACTGAACCAGCGAATGAGAGTAGTGTTCTCTAGAGTTCTGAAACTGTCTTTACCTGATAATGTTGAAATGTACATCACCTCAGGGGATCTAACAGTGTTTTCCAAAATTAAAATTGACTCTCCAAGAACAAATAAATGCCAGAAGCACCTTCAAATGTTCCCACTGGACAAGCTACATTATAATATGTAAGTATCAAATATTTCAGAAAAATGTTTTTTTTCTGGAATTCCAAATATTCTTCTGCAATACGATTATCCAAATGAAAGAAATGTATTCCATCAGAACAAGAACAAGTATAGAGCTCTGGATTCTATCAACCACCCAAACAAGAGTCTATAGGCTTTGACTGAGCCATTTGAAACTTTTCTGCTCTCAATGCTCCCAAAGTAAAACAGTGATTTACCTAGAAAAGTCTTAAATAAAATACAGTCTAGCACCACAAAACAGTAACACTAGAAGTAAGAACTGGAAAGCTACATATCTCTTAGTCCTACAATGGCTCTAACCAAATTAAATGACTTTCAGTTGAGATCTTTGGTATGCATCTGAACAAAATAAAAAGATGTACTTTGGCAAAAAGGAACACACAAACCGTCCGAAACTATAAATCTACAAATAGTTTACAGGTTTGAGTCCTGATGGAGTCCTCTTCCAACCTAGACTTTCTAAAACGAAAGTTAGAGGCCTAACAAAAGAAATAAAACCTGTATATGCGGTTTTGGTGCTGGTACATTTAAAACAACTGGCTGCTGAAGAAGAAGCTGCATATAACTTGAATTTGTAGCTCCTGATCAGATAGATGCTGAATGTGCTAGAGAGCTTTCACTTGGTGGGTGGGGATGGGAAGAAAATGAATCCTTCTGAAAAAGTACGATATTATCCCAAATCAAACATTAAAACAAGGCATTTTTATATGAAGGCTCAGATTCATGAGGGGAGAAAAAAAGGTTTTGAGGGCTTAGATTCACAAGGGAACGAACACCTTGGCGCTATTGACTTCTGGGTCTGTCCTGTACACTGCAGAGGGTTAAACAGCATTCCTGACCTCTACCCACTGGATGCCAGTAGCAACCCACTCCCAGCCCCTTAGCTGTGACAAACAAAAGTGTCTCCAGACAATCCAAATGCCCTCCGGGAGGCAAAATTCACCCTAGCTGAGAATTACTGCTCTAACATTTACTTTTACTAGTTAATCTTCTTTCTTGTTTTCAAAAAAAAGACAATGTATTTCATGGGGCATACTTATACTAAAATAATTATTTTCACCTATAATTTACTTGGGCATCCTGTATTTTTATTTGCTAAATCTGGCAACCCTATGTGTGACACAAACAAAAGATTTAGAATGCTACAGTTCCATGCTAGGTATGTCCCTGTCCACTTCCATTGTGCCCATCAAAACAAGCTAACGGATCTAAAAACGAAGACATGTCAGTGATTCTTTGATAGTTCATTCCATTCCAATCCCAGGAATCTCTTCAAGTCTTGTTGATCACAAACTGTGCTGCACTTCTATGGAGGACTTACCGTTGGGGTCTTTCCTGAATAGAGTATTCATGACTGTAGCATGGAGTTTCACACTGTTCCACTCTTTCACTATTAGTCCAGATGCCTGAAAACGTTCCAGCACCCGATCAACCAATTCCTGCAGCCTAGAGAAATTGAAGAAAGACGTGCAGAAATCTTAATAAATTCCTGAACCGTGATTACTAATTCAACAACATTTATGGAGCATCTGCTCTGAGCCAATCACTGTACAAGGAAGAAAATAGGCTGCAGTCCCCACCACCACGAAGTTCACAGCTTTGTGCAGACATCAGACCCAGAACAACTGTACAACATCATGGCCAGTATTAAGGGAGTGATCAAATAGACTTGGAGGGACCAGGTTTTCATAGGAGGCTTAAACAAGGTCTTGAAGGAACACGAAAAGTTACCATCTTGGAAACTGGGTACAAGAAGCCAGGCTCAACAGAGAGCTGCCTAAAAGCAAGTGCTTTATTGGTTCATTCAGTCACAGACCCAAAAGCTACTGTGGTTGATGTGTTTCTGTCAGGATTGAGTGAGGCCTGGCTTGACTCTAAGACACATGCACTGTGAAGATCACAGTAGCCCTGGACATGGCACCAGTGTTCAACAAGGCAGCAATGTAGCTCCAATGAAGACAACTGTAGGGAAATCCATGGGCTACATGACTGATGCACCAATATGGACTCCAGTTGACTCTAAGCACTAGGGGTTCTGCAGGGGGTTTCTTCTATTTTGATGATGGCTGCTCATTACAGTACCTCCATCAGAAACAATTCTTGCACAAGAATTCTGTTCAGGTGTTCTGATCAACAGCTTAAAGAACTCTCTTGAACACTTCTTGTAAGGCCATTCTAGTAGTGATGAATTCTTTCAGTTTTTTGTTTGTCTGAAAAACTCTTTATCTCTCCTTCTATTCTGGCAAAGAACTTTGTCAGCTGTGCCAATGAGAGGGGTCATTTATTCCAGCAAGGGTGTGGTGGAGCAGATCTTGGTCCTGGGCCTCAGGAAGCAGCCATCTTCTGTGACCACCCACTCATCTGGTGGGGACGTTCACTCTGTGGCTTTTAAATATTGTGCACGAATGTCCACCCTGAGCTTGGAGAAGTCCCCGCTGAATACTGGTGCTAATGGGAAGGTTGCATCAAATGACAGAGTAGGGCACTTGGTGATCAGTGCAGGGAGCAGCCTGCTCCTTTCAACCTTTCCCGTCATCTTTTTTGAGATTTGTGCTGCACACTGACTCCTCTGGTTCAAAATAATCTTTCAGTCATCACCACTGTACTAATGAACAAGAGATTTCATATTTTTTGGAGTTGACACTACGGGTACGTACTAGTAATACTCTTTGTGTCACACACTGGCTCTTTTCCCAGACGCAAGTGGCCCTGAGATATTTATAGAGTTTGTGAACCTTCTACCACTTCCTGGGCCACAGCCTGTGGAAAAACACTGTGACCCGGTAAGAGGTTTCTCCTTGAGCAGGGCCGGATGGGTCTGTTTTACGTGAGATGTGGGCTAAGCCCACCTTGTGTGGCCCATGTGTGGGAGGCTGCCTAAAGCCATGGGGCAGAGTCACTCTGGTCACAGCAGCTGAGTTGCTCAAGGCCTACCTCCACACGGACAGCAGCCTCTGGTACCTCCACCCTTCAGTTATCTTTCACCCACTTAGACGTGGGCAAAACAACCTTTTTCTGCTTGTACTGCATATGCTGCAGCAAGAGTTATCTTCCCCTAGTGATTGAGTCATAAGCACAAAGGACTCTTTTCCCTTTCATGTTTTTCAGGCTCCAAAGTTCAAATTAACCTTCTTAAAATTCTAACTTTTTATTTTAATTGTTGTTATTAAATACTGTCTACTAACCAGAGAATATTTACAGCTATAATTAATAATAATAAAATAAATACCCATATTCTCACCACTTACCTTCAGAAATACATCACAAGGCTGGGACCAGAGTGAGGCAAGTGAGGCACTTACCCCAGTCACAAAGTTTAAGGGGGTGCCAAAAACCGCAGTAATCAAGATAAATGATGTTTTAATGCAGTATTTCAAAATCAATGCAAAAAAAAATCCTGATGAACAAAATGCCAAAATTTTGAATGAAGACAGATCAAAATACAACTGAGTTTTCCTTTTGCCTCAGTATGCTTGGCATGGGATAGAATATCACAACATACAGTTCCTCAGGATGCTCCCTGATCTGGAGACCCCAGAGACTCCCCGCTGCCTGACACAGCACCTGCTGGGGCAGCCTCATGACCTCGCACTCCTCAACATGCACATTTTCCCGCCAGGCTTCCTCCACTTAGCAACCTGCCAGCTGCTGCCTCTGTGTCTGCTGTTACCTGGGTCCCACATCCTCTGCTCCCTCTTCCCTCCACCTATGCAGATGTTATCATCCTTCCAGGCTCAATTCAAATCCCACTTTTCCATGAAGCCCTTCTAACTCCCCCAACACACCCAAATCCCCCATATCTAGGAGGAGTGATTTTGCCCTTCTCTGAAATGCTACCCTAGTACCTGGGTTCTACTTAGCCTTCTCAGGGATAGTCCATTAATGTTCAGGTTTGTGTCTTGTTCCTCTACTAGACTGTCTGCTCCTCAAGAGCATATTATATTTGTCTTATATCTGCCAGAGCACCATTATACTTGGCTTTGTGTAACTACTGGCTGTGATTGGTTAACTGACAGATTTGACTGATTAAAGAGTGAGAACTCATGAATGTAAAAAATAAACACAGTCCTGAAGGATCATTAAAGATCTGCAGATAAAACCAGGGAAGGAAGGACACTTCAAGCAGAAGAAATAATGTGCAAAGATGTCAAGGCATGCAAGACCACAGCTTATCTGGAAAACCACCATTTATTTAATACAGCTGTAACACGGACTGAGAGGAAAGGGGCAGTGGAGATGAGCTGGATGTAAGTAGTGGTTGGACCATGGGAAGCCACAGAAATTTTTAAAAGGGGAATGATGTGGTCAGATAACCATTTGTGAAGCTGACTCTGTGGCAGAGGGGAAATGCTTTAGAAGGGGAGGAGACCAGCAGTACTGAGGTCAGCTAAGTGGCACTGACAGTACCAACAGAAGAAATAATAACAAACACCACGTGTCAGGCATTAATTCTAAGCACTTTCTGTTAAACCGTTTAATCCTCACGATAAATTACTATCCCTATTTTACCAATAAGGAAACTGAGGCACAGAGAAGTTATAAAACTTGACCAACTGTCAAATAATGAATAAGTGGTAGATCTGGGGCGTAGGTATAGCTCAGTGGTAGACTGCATGCCTACCATGCATGAGGTCCTGGTTTCAATCCTCAGCATTTCCATTAAATAAATAAAACTAATTACCCCTCCTCCCTCAAAAAAGAATGAACAAATAAGTGGTAGATCCAAAATGAACACCCATGCAGTCTGGCTTCAGAGGACATGATTTAAGGACCACGCTCTAAAGGAGAAAGGTATGAAGATCTAAACTTTGACGGGGCAGTGAGAACCAAGACAAGGGAATGGATTCAACAGAGCTTGTGAGAGAGAAGCTGGTGCTCTCAGATATGACAGTGCTGGAGCAGAGGAAGAGCCTGCCTTAAACGACCAGGTGGGTCACCAACCAAGGTGGGGGATTATGGAGAGGGAGAGGGTCTGCTTTTGCATGTGTCACATTGGATATCAAATGGGACATGTCCTGGAAAGAGATGGAAATACAAGCCTGAAGATCAAGAGAAAAATCTGGGCAAACGACACAGATTTGGGAGTCATCAGTGTAAAAGCATGGGATGAGGGGGCAGGGAGAGCTCAGTGGTAGAGTGTGTGCTTAGCATGCACGAGGGCCTGCATTGAATCCCCAGTACTTCTACTAAAAAATAATAATCAAATAAAATTTAAAAGCATGGGATAAATGCAGTCATGGGGGGAGGGGGATTGAGAGCAAGCCGAGAAGAGAGCTAAGGACAGAGCCCTATGCGACACTCCCACGTATGGGGCAGAGAAGGAATCAGCAAGCACAATCCATAAAGATGAGGAACAAGAAAAGGAAGATTTCAGAAAGGCTGAAAGGAGAATTACAAGGGGTTAAAAAGGAATAATCAATATAATATTATGCTATAGGAAAGTAAAGTAAGAAAAGAAGCAACATATGCCCACTTATTTCTCACAATCAGTATGTCATCAGAGACCTTTGCCAGAGCAGTTTCGCTGGCAGGTTGATGACAGAAGCCTTATTACAGAGGCCCAAGGGAGAGGCCAGAGAGATGAGGAGGGGACACATGCACATAAACTCAAGAAATGTGGAAGGAAGGGAAGAAACTAACTGCCTTGGTAATTAGATACAGAGTTGAGGGCAGGTTGTTTGCGTTCGTTTTCAATGAGAAAGAGTTGAAAATGCATGCTGACAACAAGAAACTATCCAACAGAGAAGGAAGATGAAACTTTAGCCAACAGAGGGAATCAACAGAACAAGATCTCAAAGGAGACAGGAAGGGCTGATACAAAATGCACCTCCATTTCAAATCACAACAGAATGATGCCACACTTTTCCACCTCCTCTCTTAAAGAAAAAGTGGGTGGGAGCTAAGTTATAGAGAAACAAGGAGCAAGTAGCACTAGAGGAAGGAAACTAAACAGAAGAATGAAAGCGTCCAGTCTCCATCTTTGTCCTTCTGGAAAATTAAGATTTCTGCCCAATTTACAGACTTAGAACTTTAAAGGGACTGAAGTCTTTTAAAATGTTCTATTCTAAGCTGCTAATTTTACCCAAGAGAAAACAAAAAACAGACAAGTTGAGTTGCTCCAACTCAGGGCAAAGGGTCAAGAATCCAAGTCTCCTGGCACCCAGTTCTGCTGCTATCAATTCACTGTGCACTCCAGGAAGCTGGCTCTTTATCTTACTCACTGCCTTATTCTGGCATCTAAGTTAATGCCCAACTGACGTATCATCAGTGCTCAATGAAGAGTTGTTGGAAGTATATATGCATGAATTTATCATATGACAAATCTCTGCAACAGATGACTGGATAAAGATGTGGAATATATATACCATGGAATATTACTCAACCACAAAAAAGAATGAAATAATGCCATTTGCAGCAACATGGATGGACCTAGAGATCATCATATT